TGCGCGTCTCTTAGAGTAAACAAACAAGCAAGTTTTGACGCTGAGATTTTGCCAATGGGTCCTCTGCGAGCAATATCCAAGGAACGCAGCACCATCCTTCGCATAGTACGAGCACATGAAAGTTTTGGTGGGGAAAATGCCGACTCGAGAATCAGAAAAGATGGACTGCTCCCTGTCAACATACAACTTAAAGATTTAAAATTAAGCTTCAGGTGCACGTGAACCTTACATACGAGATTGTGTAATTTCTGGCAGGAGCATTGCTCAGTGAACTGCTGGGTTGTTTTCAGTGAACGATCGGTCGACAGAATTTGTCATTTTCCTTTACGCAAAATTTACGGTGATTTACACTAATGAGTGCACAAATCAGACGTAAAGCATCCCATAGTTTAGCGATGTGATTGTTTCAAGTTTACTGCAAAAACGCATAATCGTAATGCGAGCCTAGTTCGTCCCAGGTTGGGTTTTTCAAATTTTCCTAAAAATTGAGGGATTTTTTTGCATTTTTCCATTTTCCCCAAATGCTGTTTTCTTGACACTTGCTATGAGGCCATATGATTTAAAAAGGACTGGAGTTTTTAGCTTGTCTGGTTGCGAAGTTAAAAATTATGAAAATTCAGATTCCACGTGTCCGTGCATGAGATCTTAATGCAAGTGAAAATTAATTTGTTTCGACAAAATGCTGACTCGACCGAGTGGCCTAAACGTTCAAATTTCATGCTTTCCAAATTTGATTGGTTGGATGTTAGTGCCATTAGTGCTGACCGCCTTCTCCTTTCCCACTTCTTAGTTGGGGGCTGTGTATCTTATCTTGCTGTTAAGCAGAGATGAGTTTTTCTGCTCGGTGGCGCAGGTCATTCTGATTCCCACTAGAAACTGCAAAATTAGTAGCGTCAGCGTCCAAACTACTAATGTGCTATGTGAGATGGGCAGGAGAAAGGTGGCGCAAGATACTTCGTTATGTCATTATCTAAAATAATTGTCGAATTTCAGTTGTTTCGCAATATGGTATGTATGCATCTACTCGCAGACGGAGCCGTAGCCGCGTTCTTTAAGGTCATCTCTTGTTACCTGCTAAATCTTTGTCAGACGTCGCATTTCTTATCGCCACTGATCTTTATACTGCCGCCATATGTACCCTTGGTACTGCGCATGTAACATTCAGTAATTCAAAGGTTGGGTGAGGGAGGGAAGATGTAGCAGTTAGGTCAGTTCCGGCCCTTTCCTTTTCCGGTGTCGACAAATGTAATTACATTTTTGCAAAGATAAGCTAAAAATCTCACATGTGCAAAACCGACTGAAGACTCCCATCAGTGTTTCGTTCACAACATTGAAAAAGCCATGTTCACATTCGCGTATTCTTTGCCAATTCTCATAGGCCAGACTCAGAACTGCGAAAATCAAGAATCAGATCGCTGTGGGAGAAATTAACGAGAGTTCAGCTAAACATCAGTTTCAAGTTCTTTTAAATCCTCCCCATTCTAGTGATTGCAGTTATGGACCAGTGTCATACTTCAAGTAAAAACGCAGAAAAAGGGTACTCACATTAATCTTCAAAGCTCCAAGTAAAGGGTCAGTTGGCTACCAAATTCACGTAAAAAGTCCTGACCCAAAATTTCTCGCCAATCTCCGAGACGGAGCAAAGCATGTTTTGGTGTTTTCCTCGGACTGGCGCAGTTGAAGGTTTCTCCATTCTCCTTGTCCTGTGCTCGCTCACTTGTAACAGTCTCTCAGTCACTGCTGGACGAGAAGCGCCAATTCCTTTGCAAATGCGGCCAACCGTACTTACTAAATTCTTAACTGACGCTCAAAAAATCATGCTTTCTATGATCTTCCTCAGTTCCTGTCATTTTGCAGATCGATCCAATTGCTGGCTTTCTGTTGACGCCGTTCGCACTGTGGACCGGCTTTTACACGGTCCTGACCTACTGGATCAGCAAGATGAACACTTCGGATGCGAGTGAGCGCTCTACTCTCTGACTACCCCGACACAGTGCTCACCGAAATTTTTTGCATTGCTGTTTTTATTCATTGTTAGCATCGGGCATTAATTATCAGAAGTTTTGCCACATGTTTGATTGCCAGAGGTGATTCGTTGGGAATCAAACATGATAATGTGCGCCGATGATGCGCTAAGCTCAGAGCAACGGCCCCGATTCGCTCCCGAGTATCTTGACCCTCTGACCATTATGTCTGTGGGACAGGCGACCCTTTCGCTTATTATCTGTTGCGTATCGATTTGCACCTGGCATTTTTCATTTGAAGCATTT